TCTTGTGCCAAACGCTCACCAAAATCTGCACAAGGATGATTGATGCTCTTTTGTTGCGATCAGAACCAATGCAGTTTCTGCTGAAAAATGTGTGTTGTTTACAAAAAATAAATACTTGAAAGGAATAGATTTTTTTGTGTGTGTTTTTTACGTCCACCCTGAGTTTGTACTAGTCTTTTTTCTAATATCCTCTATATCTTCACACATGCCTTCTTTATGCCTCCAGCGGTGTAGCACATTAGAGGAAAACACATTCGGCATGTTCTCCGGGTGCTGCTTGCTAAAACCAGCATGCTCCCTGTGAGCTTCGATCTTTTCACTTCGTGGCAGCTCTGCAACATGAAGGAGCCCCGATGTTAGGGAAGCATCCAGACTGGTAGAAACACATTTTTAATGCTTAAAGACCAACATTCAACTTTGAGCAAATACAAGGCTGAGGTACATACACAGTCTGTAAAAGACACGGTATGATCATTTTTAAGCCTTGAAAAAGTGTGAAAAACGTTGTGGCTTCTGGACTATGTTTTTTTTATTTATTCTATTATCTAAAAGTTTAAAGTAATAGTTTCTCCCCATTTTATACCTGTGGGACTGGCTGTATCCTAGTTGATATTTTTAGTCACGAAATGGTGTTGTTTGCTGTGGGATGTTTTCCACCAACAATCCTATTAATTAGTCTACTAAAGCATTAAAGTAAATCTTTGAAGAAATTTTCAATCTGTTCATAATTTACTCTAATGATGTTATAGGACTCCAATAAAAATGTCACATGCAGGAAAACAGTTTTTATGCTTGAACAGTGGTCAAAATAAACAAAACATTATTTGGAAATAAGGTTTAAAATGCAATACCTTAATCTTCATTTATTTATTGTATGAAACTTTCTTTACTGAGTGACAGCATAATTCATGAAAAAACAGATAAGTGACTGTTTAAGTATATTATCATTAAACACTATGGTTACAGAATAGAAGCAAGTAGGGACAGAATTGCCCCATATATATTTAAAAATCTCTTTTTTTATTTATTGATATATATATAGTGACATATCCTATAGGCATGCTTTTCTCATCTTGCTCATCACTTTACTCCAGCTATAGCCTCAAACCCAGATCGAGTGCAACTTATTCTAGTTTTAAATTTTAAAAAAAGCTTGATGTTAGAACACAATGATTGGGTCCAGAAAATAATAAAAAAGTTGCTACATACTAATTTGCTCTTTTTAAGCACCCAAGAGTTTTCAAAGACGGTATGGGCAATAGAAACTGTTTAGTTTTGTTTTTTAGATTTGCAGCTTGTTGTTGATCTATTGAAACCCTACATCTGAAATGTTCTTGATGTTTTAAAAAATGCTCTTGATGTGTTTGGAAACTGACTGAAATACATGACAATATCTTTATCTGCACACTGCTGGACACAAGTATTGAATTTCTACTCCATGTTTTCAAAGTAAAAAAACATCATCTGAATCTGAAGATACTGTACCGAGTGTAAATTCTGAAATATCCAATTAGAGACTCTGAATCCATTACAGGTTTTCTTTAAAATATGAGCAATTGGATTTAGCCGCCTGCCAAAGGCAATGCAAAATTGCCAAATGCAACAGTTCTTTCAGCGTCACCATCTGCCATTTCATCTGTTTCATTTATTCTTGCAGATTTGTTGTGTTTGATTTCCTGTATTTTGTACAGATCTGCCACTGGACGTATCCACTGTGCAATTTTCTGTACTATATGCATACATTTGTATATAATTGACAGTATTTGCATCGCGTGTGTCTGCTTGTCCTCTAATGTCATGTGCGTCTCCCCTTCCCCAACCTCAGGCCCAGGCTGAGCTCTCAGGAGTCATCCCCTGGAAAGGCATGACAGAGCCCCAGTGTTTGGAAATGGCTGCGCTGGCAGCGATAAGCAGTTCAAAGAAGAGAGCGCATTAATGTAATAGGGTGCCAGCAGCGCGTTGGCCTCATCGTCTCATATGCACATTCAGTGACACACACTCAGCACGCAGATTATTGGAGAAGAGTGTCTGAGAGTGGTGAAAGGATAGAGCAGATGAGAATGAAAGAATTGGGGAGAGAGAGAGAGAAGGAAAGGCAGATAGCGAGAGGAGAGGAGGAGTCGGGGTCCTCATTGTGTTGCTCATTAAGCCATGGGAGACTCTGAGAGGCTGAGACGAGAGGTGTCAGAGTTAAATGTCAGGTCTGGTAGGGATGTGATTGACTTAGGAGAAGCCACATACACACACTGACCCCAACACAGAGAGGTAGCTCAGAGGGGCTCCTCTGTCACTTCTACAGACTCATATTATCCCCTCAGCTACTTCTCTCTCCCTCACTCTTTAGCCTCCTTTTCTCTGCCACTCACCTAGTTTGGCCCCCTCAATTTTTCCACCCATTACACCCAAATTACTGGTGTCATTGCAAACTGAATAGTTGCAGCCGGATAGAAGCGTTTCCACTGAATTGCAGCAGCTCCTACCAACTGCAGTGGAAGTAAAGGCCATTTCCTTCAGCTAATTTACAAGTCTGTGTGATTGGAGGAACAGAGGGAAATGCCGGGTGACTTCCTTCACTGTTATGAAATGTTTTCACCAAAGGCAGCGCAGGCCTTTGAAGTTTCGACTCTCTCGCCCTTGTATTTCAAACAGTCTCCTCTTCTGTTTCTCCCTGTGAGTTCTCTGCAAGCACTTCTCCACCCTACTTTTTGTTTATTCACTTCTTCTGCTGCTGCTGTTCTTCTTGTTGCTATTCTGGTACGTTTTAACACTATGATCTTGGGAAACCTTCGACCTTGATAAGCAAAGACGAAATAATTAAAGTTGAACAACTTAAATAGCGGGATTTGTTATTGTCTTATGGGGATGTTTCTTAGTTGTTTTTTGTTAGGTTATTATATTAGATGCACTGCATTACCCCTTGACTTCCTTATTTAGCATTGATGTGGATTAATTGTTCTTGGGGGCTGAAGTTAACTAGTCCAAGGAGACTATAGTGATACTCTAGTTTTAAAACAACTAATCTCATAAACAGTGTGAGAGTGTACGCTTGTTCTACATTATGAAACTTGAAACCATTTTTTCATTACATTTTGATAATTTTAACCCTTTCATGTAAAAGTGTTCTTTCTATATATATATGGCTTTAATTTTGGGCACCTATGCATATTTTCCAATCTAGTGGAAGCTAATGCATCATCCCATACAGAAATATCCCATTTGTTGATCATTGCAATGGAAAATAAATGAGACCAAGATGGATGACAAGCAGGGAAAAAGACCAAACACCTCGGCTATTTCAGTTTCTACAGAGGAGTAGAGGAACCACCAATTCAACAGAATACCATATTTCAGCTGTAAAACTGAATTACAACTTTATCTATTTATCTACTTTGTTGGTATATTGATTTTTTTTACAGTATAAAATGCATAAACTACACTTGAGTGGACAGATAAATATTTCTTTATAGAACAAAGATACACATTTTTTAAACCTTGTTTTCCATTTCTAAAGATGTATAAAAACACCTGAGAGGGTTAATAGACACCTATTAAAGAACTAAAAAAGAAATGGAGCTAGGAAGTTGTGCACTAACAGTAGCTGCTTTTCAATTAAAAAGTTGACTTTCGATATTCTGCTAAATTCAAAAAATCGAAGTTACGCAACTGCAGGATTTTCTATTAAATAACTACTCAGGTCAACATATTCTCATTATCAGTGCATATGAAATCGTACGAAAAGTTATGCACACTATTTCGTATGTTTTGGAAGTTTTTTCCTCAAAAAACCACATCAGTGCGCACGCGCTGGCAGACAAAAAAAAAGCAGATCCGCGGACGGACGTAAAACTGGGAAAAACAATGCAGTCATCACTTATTCATCTCTAACTACGTTGCTTGCTGTTTTATATCTTAGGGTCAGGGTTAGGGCTAATTGTAATTTATATTCTATATTCGTGAATGGTGCGTCAGATGTGCATGCGCATACGATGAAAAAAACGTCCAAAACGTACGAAATTACGGTGCATAACTTTTTGTACGATTTCATAATGAGAATAGGTTGCTCAGGTGCAAACTACTTCCTGTCTTCTTCTTCATCTTTTTTACAAGGCAGTAAGGTCCAGCTGTAGATCATTTGACTTGTGTGATGTAAAAAATGTGTTTAAAGTACAGTTTTGTGAAATAAAACAGTTCCGATCCAACCGAAAAACACATAAGTCAAAGTTCGTTGTTTTTTTATTGTAGTGTTTCCATTTAGCACTTTTTTTAATAATTACAATTTGAGCAATGTGATGGTTCAAGGAAATATAACTATTGATCTTCCTGTTTAAAACATTTGCTACTCATGAGTCTCTACATTAGAAATGTAGAATTTGAAAATCTATATAGTTAAAAAAATACATAGAATGGACAGGAAGTAATGTGTCTAGCCTTTTTTACCAATCCAGTCTCATTTATTCAGAGATACAGCTCTTAACAAGTTTTTCTGGAACTTGCCACTTATATATGGGGTTGTTGTGCTTCTCTAACCCTTAGTTGAAAACATTTGACTGGTACCAAGTCATTTTTTTCTGCTGTCGGGGTCTTTTTGTATCATAAATCTTGGGTTAATTTTATTTTTATATTTGTATAATATGTGATGGACCAAAGTAAAGCAAGGAGACCTGTGAGCTGAAGGGAAAATGTTTATCATTTTATTCTCTTTTAAGAGTGTCTGAAACATGTACTTATGTATTTCCCCTCTTAAAAAAAATCAAAAAATAATTAGAGCTGTGTTTCATTTTATTTGAGCTACTATACAAAGTCATTAATGCTAAGAAAAAGAAAACGATATTGCCAAAATGTCCTATATTTGATACAATTTTATAAATTGCTCTAAACATCAGAAAAGGATTTTCTCATCCATCACAGCCCAAATACTTTTTTTCTGTTTCAGTATAAAGTACAAAATTTTGAAAGAAAAATAAAGCGCACTCAACTGACCAGCTTCTCTGTCTCTCCAGGTCAGCCTTTCAAGTTAGACCCAAAGACAGCCCACAAGAAGCTACGCCTTTCCAATGACTGTTTGACCATGGAGAAGGATGAGAGCTCACTGAAAAAGAGCCACACCCCAGAGCGGTTCAGCGGCACCGGCTCCTACGGAGCTGCTGGGAATGTTTTCATCGACAGCGGGTGCCACTACTGGGAGGTGCTGCTGGGAGCATCCACATGGTGAGAATGTTATATAAGCCTGGAAAGGGGCTCAGAGAACCAATTCACCCATGTAGTTTAATATGCAAACTGCCCTCTAACAAATAGAATTTAACACAGACAGCACATGCTCGTTCTTCGTACTCATTGGTTATAAACCAAAGATACTAATGCAGGTCTTTCATGTCCTTAGATTAAGTTCCAGTAAAGAAAATAAAAGGAGGGCCATTTAGTCGTAACTTGTTTAAAAATAATTTCCTTCCTTCCAGGTATGCCATTGGCGTGGCTTACAAATCAGCCCCAAAAAACGAGTGGAGTGGCAAGAACTCGTCCTCGTGGGTGTTCTCGCGTTGCAACAACAACTTTATGGTGAGGCATGATGGTAAGGAGATGCTGGTGGAGGCCAGCCTGCAGCTGCGGCGGCTCGGCGTGCTCCTGGACTACGACAACAACTCGCTGTCCTTCTACGACGCCATGAACTCCCAGCACATTCACACTTTCGAAATCTCTTTCCTCCTTCCTGTTGTACCCACTTTTATGATCTGGAACAAGTCAGTCATGATTCTCTCAGGACTACCTGTCCCAGATTTTGTTGATGGGGTGGCTTCAGATCTCCAAGAGCAACAGCAGCAGCAGATGGGTCTGTGCCGACAGGAATCGCCATACTTGACAGGGATGAAAACCTGCCACTGACTAAGCCTGTGACAGAAGAGCGGATTAGGACCCGACACATTGACGGCTTGACTGAGCTTTGCTCTGATCCTTAACGAGGAACGGGTTACTGTCTTAAGTGTTTAAAAAATGTAACTCCTGTTAGTTTGTAGCCACTCTGTGTTTTGTACATTCATTTAGTTCATAGAAAGGTTTCTTTGACTGAAAAGATCAGAGTGTTCAGTTCGTTAAACACCCTGCAGTTACTGTCAAAGGTAGCTTTCAAAAGGTAGGTCTTTGTTTTTTTATTTATTGGACCCCTCTAGGTAGGAGATCAAGGTTGAATTCTTTCACGTTCAAAGTTGCAACATGGAACTAATGGGATTAAATCTCACAAATCCCTTAAATTTAATCTTTTGAAGAGTTGTTTTTTTAGACAGCAGGAATAAATACATTATTATAACATGTGCAGGTGCTTCTCAGTAAATCATAACATATAATTGATTGTGGAAACAGAAATGTTTACCTCCTCCTTGGCGGTGAGCTGCAAGGAAATAGACTGGCTGCGCTTTACATGATGCTGTTGATGTTTCCCTGTTTTCTCTTCCTACTTTCTCTCATTAGTGTCAATAATGAGAATGCGATCTCCAAAATCTTTTTTTTAATTGCCTCCTAACAAATGGGCCATGTATTGTACACTGTATGCTCTCAATACTTAGTTGTGATTCCTTCTGCATGAATAACTCCATCAGTGCAGCTTGACAAGTTAGCACTGCAGAGGTAGAGCAAGGGTTGCTTTAAAGGGACCTTTAATCTACCATTATTTGTTGGGTCTGGTATTTATTATCTCCTTTTAGGCCTACAGCAAAACTCCACGGTAAAATCTTGTCTGGGCCTTAGAAATGACTTTATACAAGGAGTGCAAGAGTTTTAGTCTGGTCCTGTGGGGCTCCTTAGTTCAGTCACTAACTGCACTTTGTGATTCCTCCCCAAATTCTTTTTTTTTCTTTCTCCAAGCTTTGCTTTTTGCTGTTGCCAGTGTACAATTTTTCCTTTCAGTCAACATCCCAATAATATGCGTGGATACAGCACCTGCCTGTGAGGGCTTACCCTCCCTTTTGTGCAATACTCAAAGCAGCACTCCTGTCTGTGATGAGAAGACCATAACAATGCATGCCAGTTTAACCTGTGGTAGTCTATTGCATCTAGCAAGCCATCAACTACTCCCTATCTAAATGCAAGATGGAGTATAACATGTATACCACTTCATCCGGATGTTGCATATTTTATGCACCAAAGATCATTTTTAAAAGCCTATTTGCCACCCTCTAGCTGCATCTTTACCCCCAATTAAAGCTTATCTCAGAAGTTTGCATCCTAAATAGCAACAGACAGTGAAAATTCAAATTCGAAGTATTATTGATTCAGCATCTGCTTTAAAGCAAAAGCACAAGTAATTTGGTTTGGACTTACAATAAAGCTTATTGTTAATATATTGGTAAGTGGTTTCAAATACTTTGAATAATTACACTGACAAACAATAAACAACTAAAACATTACTCCTTAAATTAAATTTCCCATATCAGTGCTATGGAATTTACTGAGGCAAATCTGTACAGCACATCTTCCAGAAAATACTCCCACCTTTTAGCCCAAAGTAACAATAAAATGTATTTGATTTTTGTTTTATTTCAAGATTTGGGTAGCAGTTGCTTGTAAATACTTAATGGTTACTGTGTCCTTTGTGGGTGTAACTAAACTTCCCTGCAGCCTCTCCTTGTTCTTCCTCCTAATTTTAACCCATCAGCCCCATTTGTGTGGGAGGGTCCAAACTTCCAAGCTCCCAGGTTTTGTTCTTTAACATCACATGGAGCAGATTTTTATCGTGTGACTACTCTTTTTGTAAGATAAGAGACTTATTAAACACAAGAGAACAAATTTAATATTTATAGTAAGGAATGGTTTAACTTTATTTTACATTTACCAAATATTCATGATGCACTTTTGAACTTGACACCGATTGCCCTTTCTGATATAAAGTAGAGCTAGAGCTGAGTGGCAGGTTGCAATGAGGGGAATAAGTGACAACACTGTGTTAAAAATATGTTTACCATAAAAATGAGTATAGTGCAGCAAAATGCTAGTAGCTTTGCAGGCAACTTGTGTTTATCTCAAAGCAAATGCAAAGTAATTCCTCATTGCACTTTTTAATTCCATTGAAGTTATCCTTCTGTGAAAAATAAATCTGGTTATGGTATTCATGGGGTTTTTATCTGGATTGTTTCGGTTTTACATCTTTTTAAAAGAAAAAAAAAGGGTGTTGAATTTTCAGGGCTGAAGTGGGTTCACACTTGCTGGTTGTTGCAGTGCCACGGCATGACTGTGTTTTCCTCCACAAACACATTTTAACACATACTCCTCTAACCGGGTCGGGATCGTTGCATGTAACATGATCAGATTACAGGGAATCACTGGGAATTGTATGTATTTCAAAGAACTTTGTTTCATCTTTTTTTTTTATCATATTGCCGAAAAACTCCAGTTTTGAATGTTCACATTTAGTTATAGCTTGACGTGTTCGGTTTTTGTTTGTTTGGATTTCAAGGCTGGTTTGAGATTCAGGTAGCAGTGCTGATCCAGACAATCAGACGTGTATTATACTGTAGTTTAGGCAGATTGAAAAGGCAATGTGGAGGGAAAAGCTGACACAAATTGACACTGGATGTTGGTTAAATGAACTATATATGTATATGTGTTGGGGTTTTTTTTTGTTTGTTTGTTATAAATCCATCTCACCATATGAGCATTTTGCTGCATTAAGCCTCTCCATACTGGCAGCTTATGATGTCTCAGAAAGGCCATGGTGCAGTACACTGCAGTAAAAAATTTATTTAAACTTTCTTTTGCTTCATCCATTATGAGCTTTTAGTTGATTTTAGCAATTATAGAACAATCACCTCCTATTTGGTCTAATTGCACCCAAATGACAATAATTGAAAGAAAGCTGTTGATAGCTTTAAATGGAATAGACAGAGGATCTGTCTGGGTGTTGCCAAATTGACCTTTTTTTTTATTATCTATCAATCTCATTGACTGATGTCTATCAAAGACTTAACCGCGTGTTTATTTGTCAGGACGAACTGAAATGGGTGAGTGTGTGTACTTGGCTGGGTCACTGCATGATTACGTGGCCTTGCTGCAGGTTTCTAACCCTTTTCTTATCTTCCTGATAAGGTTTCTTATCAAATCAAATATACAATCTCTGTTTATTATTTTTTTATGATAAAAAGGAAACATGACAGTCGCACAAAGCTGTCATCGTCGTGTGTTTCTGATTGTTTGCTGTGTTTCTTTTTCGTGTTACAGGTCAATACAGTCAAATATATTTACAGTGAATGACTTTCAATAGCTTCCCACTCCTTGTAGTGCCGTGATTATACCCTAGCAACAATGCAATAGTTTGTTTTTGTTTTTTTTGTAAATTTGTTTGTTTTTTTCCCTTTTTTGTACAACTGAAAAGAAGTAATCTTCTCCTTTATGGCACTTGGACCTTGGGAAAAAAAAACAGCACAAAAAGAGCAGTTTTGCCTTCATGCAATGCTTTCTGTTTCCATAGATATATCTGAGATACTTTTAGCCAGAGAAGAATGTAAATCAGAGGGGGAAATATATATTATATAACGTTGTATAATGTACAAAATATATATGAACCAATGTTATTTATGTGAATTTGAGTCCAATAAAAAGTCTGATCCCAAAAATCTTCCTGTTAATTTCCTTTTGTTCTTTCTGTTGACTATTAATAATGAAAATAATACGTAAGCAGGTTTAATGTTTGCTTGTTATTTATTCAATTACTGGGAAGAAATATTATGCATTTATTGTTATAAATCACGTGTCAAACTCCAGGTCCGCAGGCTGAATCTGGCCCTTGCGTGCCCCCATAAAAACCCTACAAAGTAGAGGCATATATTATTTCAAAGTGTACAAAGTGGCTAGAAATGTGAAATGAATGTAAATAAAGAAATATAATATCAGAGCATTATGCAAATTATAAATGAAATGCTGAAATCTAAATTTTGATTTATGATGGATAAGTGGTCCAATATAGAAATGAATTTAATTCCCACCTTCTAAATGATTGGGGTTTTGATTTTTTATAGTGAACTAACACAAACCAACACTAAACCTTGAAAAGAAAAGATATTTGATTTTTAAAAATCCTGCTAAATTAAAATGTAAAAACTTTATCATGGATTCGTATGGATGTGTTTCAGAGGCATCCTGATGTCATGACAATTCTACATTATGACCGCCATGTTGAGTACGGAACACTTTATTTTAGATCTGGTAGCGCCCCAGACCACATTTGATCATTCTCATTTAAATCCTCCTGAGCTAAAACGGCAACCTGAGAAAACCTGTGTTACTGGATGCGATCCATACCAAGTCCCTGCATTCTTTTTTTCAACACCTTTTTTACAACCAACAGAGTTCCAGATTATTCCTTTCAAGACTGATAGATATATCTTATACACACCTGTCCTCATACATGGGAAAGGTTGCACCAATACCTGTTGTATTTCACAGCTGGCTGGGTTATTGGCCCAAAAATACAGTATCCAAAAAACAAGAAATTCATATGTAAAGCAAAGCTAAGTCACATTCTCTTGATGCTTACTTTATGTAAACAGCTAAACAAAACTATAATGTCTATTGCAAAATCTTCAGATCTTAATATAAAATGCACATCTTACACAAGGTGTATAATCAGTGTAATCTAAGCGCTTAATTTTTAAAAATCCATTTGGCAACAGCCTAAGCTAACTTCTGAAACTCACCTGACAGATAGGTAGTCAATATGGCCGTGGCTATATTTTAACGTCTGTGATGTCAGCTGAAAGACATCTATTCAACCTTTGTGGTGAAGAAAAGCACAGAATGAATCCTCCTCTACCGTATTAAAAGGTACGTTTTTAATTTTTGTTATCCAATATTTTTTTTAAAGCCATTAGTTAAAGTTATAGTGGATGATTTTTGAGAATTTTTGAAAAGACCCAACCTCTCCACTTAAAAAACAAAAATGCACATGCACAACCCTGTACCCACTCCCCGAGAGGGAACGCCTATTAAACGCGTGCAAGAACATGCACCAGCCCATTTCTACTCGTGCACATGCTCATACAAGCTTACTTTCCAAAAGAAGATTTGAAATTTTTCCACTATGTCAAATGAAAATGGAGAAGAGCACGTAGGAAGGCCTTACGTAAACATATCACCAGAATGATTGACAATTAGGAGGACCATTTATTTTGATGATCCACCTGGAAAAAGAACATCCTCCACTATACCTTTAAATAACACAAAGGAGGACTAGAATATATATGTGAGTAGAGATTTTTCATGGGTATCAGAGTAAAGGGGGCTGAATACGAATCTTAAAATCAGACACAGTTCAAGGGGTACAAAGTTTTGCAATTCCTGATTTTTTATTAAAAGACAAGAAGTTTCTCTGAGCTTTTAAAGCACAGAGTTTAAAGACTTCATGGCTTGAATAGTTTTGGCAGGTCATTTAAAGCTGGAGGTGGAGTTAGAGGGGATATATATGCTTCGCCAGTCATCTGCCATCACTGGCAGGAGCTCCTCATCCCTATGTGAAGCGAACAGCCTGATTCCCTACAGTGCCTTCAGGCATTACAAACTGTGACACTGACCCAAAGCTGATGAGCAATATGCTCTCTTTATTTTGTATTTAACATCCATTGAAGCTATTTAGAGGAATCAAACCGTTCTGGCTTCATTTGAGCTTCAAGAAATAATGATGGAGTACATTGAGTACTAAAATCTTATTACAGTTTGTTAGTTTCGATCTTGTAAAATATGTCTTGGCAAAGATCTAAGTTTATAGACTTATTAACTTGTCCCTTTATACAACTATGTGCAACAAAGTTTTCACACACCAGCATTTACTCTTTACACCAACACAGAAAATAACATGTTTTCAGAAACAACTTTAACCACAAAATGTGGGACTGTCTACAGAAAGTACAGTAACTCCCTCACCGCTCATTGATATTTGAATTCAGAGTATTGTATGTGTGGATGTTGAATTTCAAATTAACCCCATAACATGTGAGCAGACGTCTGAATTATTCTGCAGAGAGAAAAGGCGAATTACTTTAGTGTCTCCTGACACAGCTACTACTGGAACTGTTGTTGGCTGAGTAATGCCAGTGTGAAGCAGAAGGATTTTAGCTTTTGTAGACATTTGATGACTGGTTATTAACAAAATGATGGGGCTGTAGTCTCTAGCAATGATGTCCTTTATTTTTGCCCTCTGCAATATCCTAATTTAGCTACACAGGAACTGTTGTGCAGCTAGTAATCCTGCTGCTACCAAAACATAAAAATACTCTGCAGACAGAAGGTTTTGTTTAGTTTATTTTATTGCATCAATTAATCCAAAAATCGGGGGGGGGGGGGGGGGGGGGGGGGGGGGGGAATAGAGGTATTTAACTTATTTTTCTTAAGATCTTGGATACTTTTGCATTGTTGTGTTTTTTTCA